CTCTAAAAAAAAAAGAGAGAGAGAGAGAGGGAGACATCCATTTATTATCTCACAGTTTCTGTAGGTCAGAAGTCAAGCCACAGCATAGCTGGGTTCTTGCTCAGGCCTCACCAGACTGGAATCAAGGGACAGCTGGGCTGTGGTCTCATCTGGGGTCTGGGGTCTTCCAGGCTCACTAGTTGTTGGCATTTAGTTCCTTGCAGTTGTAGGACAGAGGTGTCTAGTACTTTCTTGCTGGTTATCAGCTGAGGGCTATTCTCAGCTTTTAGAAGCTGACTGCTGTCCCTGTCACATGGCCTTCTTGACAATGGCCAAGGACAATGTGCTCCTTCAAGGCCAGCAGGAGAGTCTCTCTGACTTTTCACCTTTCCTTAAAGGACTCACCTGATTATGTCATGCCCACCATAAATCCTCCCCCTCTTTATCAACTCAAAGTAGACTATTAACCTAGTCACAGGAATATCCCATCATATTCACTGGTCCCTCCCATACCCAAGAGAGGGGATTATACAGGGCGTGTAAACCAGGGTGTGGGAATCTTAGGGCCATTTCAGAGTTCTACCTACCACAGTCATTTTTTTTTTTATGTTTATTTTTGAGAGAGAGAGAGAGAGAGGGAGCATGTGGGGGGGAGGGGCAGAAAGAGAGGGAGACACAGAATCTGAGGCAGGCTCCATGTTCTGAGCAGTCAGCACAGAGCCTGACGCGGAGCTCGAACCCACAAACCGCGAGATCATGACCTGAGCCAAAGTTGGCTGCTTAACCTACTAAGCCCGCCAGGTGCCCCCTGCCACAGCCATTTTAAAGGGAAAGATACCTGCCCTGCCTATGGGATTGTTAGGAGGATCGCATGAACTAAAGCAGGTGCAGCCTTTGCCACACTGAAATACTTGAGGCGCTCCAGTTTCCTTGTGTCTCTACTCCTGCATATAGTATAGGTGCCCCATGCATGTGTGTCAGATGGAATGGGTTCGAATTGCTTTAATCAGGAACACGAGGCCTTGAAAGACATCCTACAGAAGGGGCACTGCGGGGCTGACCACTCCCGACCATCAGCCTTATCTTCACTGACGTTTACCTTTTCTTGGCAGGTGGGCATGATGACTTTTCCAAAATGATCGATGAGGCTGAGCCCCTGGGCTACCCGGTCGTGGTGAAGAGCACACGAGGACACCGGGGTCAGTGCTGCTCCTCCTGGACTTCCGTTAGGGCCGCACCTCTGCGAGGGCAAGACCCTCATTGGGTGTCGCGGAAGCGCTGGTTTAGAGAAGCGGAGTGTCCCCTCAAGGGGCTCACAGTGTAGTCCTTCCTCTGTCCCCTCCTCTCTGTCCCCACCGTCCTTGCTTGGTCAGACCCTTCTCATCCATCCCCTGGACTCTGACTGGTCTCTCTGACTTCAGCGCCCGTGTGTCCTCTCTTCCTTGGAAGTGATTTCTCTGAAATCTCTGTTCTTGTCACTGCCTTGCTAAAAAGCCCTCCCGAGAGCCCTGTTGCCTGTTAGACAAAGCCCATATTCCGCTCTGTAGCTCCGAAGGCCCTGAAGCTTCAGCCTTCCTTTGTAGCCTTCTCTGGCCCCGTGAACCCTCATAGTCCACTGCAGACTACTTCTCATTCACCAGCTGGACCGTGCGCTGTCTTCTCTTTCCTCTGCTGGAAATGCCATCTTCCTCTGGCACCTAGGGATGCCACCTGTAAAGGCCAGCCCTGGCTATTGTCTCTTTCCCCTCCACACCCCCGGTCTCCCTGCCTCTCTGCCAGGCAGAATTAACTGCTCGTCTTTCATGTTTCCGTAGCACGTTGACCGTGCCTCTAACAGTACTGCGCTTTATGACAGTTACGGGTGTATGTGCCTTTTCCCCCTCATTGGCTGTGAGCTGCTCAGGGTTGGGAACTCAGTCCCATGCATCTCTGTCCCAGAGTCCTGCTCCGGCGCTCCATGCATAGCAGGGACTGGTGCAGCAGGTGAGCAGGTACCCCCTGATGCAACCCAGATGGCATACTTAACTGCTCAGGGCATCTGCAGCGAGTGGAGGCACCGTGAACAGACATGTCCTGAGCAGTTCCTGGGATGTAGGGACTGGGCGGTGAAATGAACTGGACGCAGTCACTGCTGTCAGGGAGCTCCAGTGTGTAGAGAGTAGAGTTGGTGGCCTTGCAGGGTGATGTCCGCTGTGGCAGGCTCATCCAGCACCCGCTTGTACCCAACAGAGGGGGACCAGCTCTGCCACGAGCAGGGTGGGCTTTGCTGGCGGGGGAGGAGACTTAGGCTGGAGTGTGCAATTCGAATTGGAGGAAGGAAGTGCAAAAACAGAAGTAGATGTGAGCAAAGCAACTCGTGGGAAACAAGGACACTGTCGAGGAGAAAGAAGAATGAGTTTGGGGGGCAGAGTGGGGCCCTCAGTGCTATTTAGATATGCTACAGTCCTGAAGTTCAACATCCCATTTCTTTTGTGCTAAAATATACAGAATTTAAAATTCAACTAATATTATTAGCCTGCAGACTGCCAGGGACTGTTCTAGCCTCTGGGGATACAGAAATGAACAAAACAAAAACTCCTGTCCTCAGGGAGCTCATATTGTAGAAAGGTAAGAAAGACAATAAGCAGAAATTAAATAAAATACATCGTATTGTCAAACGTTTCAAAAATTGAGATTGTAATTCACATAACAAAGAGTTCATCATTTTTTAAGTGTACAATTTAGTGGATTTTAGTACATTCACTGTTGTGTACAACCATAGCCACTATCTAATTTCAGAACATTTCCATCCCAGAAAAAAACCCTGTATCTATTAGGGGTCAATTGCAATTGCCCTTCCCCTTGTCCCTGGCAACCACTAATCTACTTGTTGTTTCTATAGATTTGCCTGTTTCGAACATTTCATATCAATGGGATCACACCCTATGTGGTCTTTTGTGTCTGGTTTCTTTGACCTAGCATGATGTTTTCATGGGTCACCCATGTTATAGCGTGGAATAGTACTTTGTCCCTCAGTAATACTCTGTTGTATGGATAGACCACATTTTGTTTATCTGCTCACCAGTTGATGGACATTTGAGTTGTTTCCACTTTGTGGCTATTGTATATAATGCTGCGATAGACGTGTGTAAGTTTCTATGTGAAACGTATGCTTTCATTTCTCTTGGGTATCTGCCTAAGCACGGAATTGCTGGGCCAGTATGGTAACTCCATGTTTCACTTTAAAGGAACTGCCGAACTGTTTTCCACATTGGTTATGCCATTTTGCATTCCTACCAGCAGTGTATGAGGGTTCTAATTTCTCCACATCCTCCCCAACCCTTGTTTTATTCATTCATTCGTGATTAGTTGATTGATGTATTGATTGATTTTTTGGGGGGGAGTAGTAAATAAAACTTTTTGATTGTATATATTAATTTGAAAGCTTGCAGCCTGAAAAGTGAGCAGGTTTAACTCTTAGAATATACATGTATGAATGTCCTCTTTGCTTTGACAAATAAAGAAAATAGCCCCCACACTTCCACCATAAAAGCAAGCCACAAGCCAAAATACATGTTTTTCAAGCATTAGTGATGTAGAGGCCCACTTCATTTATTTTACATGTTTTTTTAAGATATGGATAAACAACATAATATCAGTTTCAGGTATGCAATGTAATGATTCAATATTTGTATGTATTGCAAAATGATTGGCACAGTAAGCCCATCACCATACAGAGCTACAGAACTTTTTTTCTTATGATGAGAACTTTTAAGATTTACTCTCTTAGCAGCTAGCAAATATGAGATTTGTTTTTACTCTTGTGGTATCTTATCATAGTTTTGCTTTTTATTTCCCTAATGACTAATGATGTTGAACATCTTTTCATGTGCCTGTTGGGCATGTGTAGATCTTCTTCAGATAACTGTCTGTTCAAATCCTTTGTTCACTTTTCACTTGGACTGTTGGTCTTTTGATTGCCGTGTTAAGAGTTCATGACATACGAACATAATTGGAACAGGTTTTTTCCCTACACTGTAGCTTTTCGTTTTCACTTTCTTGATAGTGTCCTTGAATGCACAGAAGGTTTTGATTTTGATGGAGTTCAATTTGTTTATTTTTTTTTTCCTTGGGTGACTTGTGCTTTTAGATGTCATTTTCTGGTTGCTTAATCCAGGGTCACACAGATTGACACCAGTGTTTCCTTCTAAGAGTTTAATAGTTTTCACTCTTACAAATGGGTCTTTGATCCATTTTGAGCTAATTATATATATGGTGTGACAAAGAAGTCCAGCTTCCTTCTTTTGCATGTGGGTATCCAATTTCCCCAGTATTACTTGTTGAAGACTATTCTTTCCCCCATTGGATGCTTTTGTAACTCTTGTCAAATATCACCTGACCATTGTGGGCTCTCAGTTCTACTTTATTGATCCCTATATCTTTTTATGCAAGACCACACTGTCTTCATTACTGTAACTTTGTAGTAAGTTTTCAATTGGGAAGTGTGGGTCCTCCAACTTTGTCCTTTTTTTTTTCCTCAAGATTGTGTTGGATATTTGGGATCCCTTGCATTTCCATATGAATTTTAGGATCAGCTTGTCAACTTCTGCAAAAAAAGAAGTTGGACTTTTAGTGGGGACTGCATTGAATCTGTAGATCAATTTGAGGAGTGTTACCATCATAACAGTATTAAGTCCGCTGGTCCCTGAACATGGGATGTCTCTCCATTTATTCAGATCTTTAATTTTTCTCAAAAATGTTTTATAGTTTTCAGTGATACGTCTTCTACTTTTTTGGTTGAGTTTATTTTTTTTTAATTTTTTTTTAACGTTTATTTATTTTTGAGACAGAGAGAGACAGAGCATGAACAGGGGAGGGGCAGAGAGAGAGGGAGACACAGAATCTGAAACAGGCTTCAGGCTCTGAGCTGTCAGCACAGAGCCCGACGCGGGGCTCGAACTCACGGACCGTGAGATCATGACCTGAGCCGAAGTCGGACGCTTAACCGACTGAGCCACCCAGGCGCCCCTGGTTGAGTTTATTTCTAAATTTTTTGTTCCTTTTGATGCTATGGAATTGTGTTCTTAATTTAATTTTCAGGTTGTTCCCTGCTAGTGTAATATATAGTATCTTAGGGGAAATGGGTTGGGAGTAAACAAATTATAGCAGCTATTAAACTTTAGTATGTGGGAATAAATCTGAAGAAGGCAGTGGGATGGTACAGGCTGTGCCCTTGAGAAAGTTACTAATCTTGTAGACCTTTATTTCCCTCTACTGTAAAACAAAAATAACTGTCCTGTTCTAATGGCTTCATAGGGCTAGTATGAAGTGTAAATGAAATAATAAAAAAAACAGGGTTTGGCACATGGTAGATGATTAACTAATCTTAGTCCTCTTTCCCACCCCCTCCCCCTTTTTGCTCTGTGCCTAAAAACTAACTGCAGGGTAAGCCCCATACTGGAACCTGCCAGCAACCAAGGAACCAAGTCGCTGTATCTAGCCCCCATTTCTGCTGAAAATCCTACCTAATGTCCAGGGAACCCCCAGTGCCTCTAATTGAATCCCAGCCATCTAGTGTCAGTTGCCAGATCTCCTGGTGCCAAATGTGCAGTGATGGAGACGTGTGTTGGAGGTTACTTCTCAGTCTCCTAAGCCACTAGGGCCTGAGATCCATCATCACTCTTTTTATTAAGATTTCAGAAGGGTCCCAGTCCTTTTAAGGTGGTTACACACCTCCTAGGAAAACCGTGTCTTCTTTTCCCATATTTGCTAACAAGAAGGCTCAGACTGGGTATGCTCATGTCAGATTTGCAGACGTCAGAATCTCTTGCTCAGATTTGTTGGCTAGTATGCAGATGGAAAGCAGGTGCCGAATAATTGTAAAAGCAGTGATGATTCAAGCAGAAAATAAAGAATTGGGAGTCAAGAAGGAATGCTTTCCCTAGACAGCAGAAGTATAGATCATTCCATCTAGGATTGAACAGGTATAGCCAAGTAAGAAACTTCCTATGTTTAAAGGGAGGAGGGAGTCTGTCAGTGGCTTCTTCTTTGAACTCCCATGGCATTTTGCATAGACCTCTTTTAATGCTATATCATGCTGTGCTGTAGTTACCTTTTGCGGGTCTCTCTCCACCTAGACTTGGAATTCCTCTGAAGTATGTTTAGTTAATTGTGTTCTGTAAGCGTGGATTGGCACCTGCCTTGTGCCTCGAGCCCAGTGTAAGTTTTGGAGATTAAATAAATGGGGTTAGAGATGGACCCTGCCTAATCAGCATCCTGGGGTGATTGGAGATGCTAACTGCTTTTGGAACTGAATTGACTAGATCCTTAGGATTCTATGTTGGCCTCTTCTCTGTGTCTCTGGAATACATTATTGTTTCATCTTGAAAAAAGAGTTGTTGAGGGAGAGGGACCTGAGTAAAACCAAGAGAAAATAAGGTTCAGTGGCCATTTGATAGGAAGCTCGAGTCTGGTCAGGAAACAGAAGGGGCCAAGGTAAGGCAAGTTTGGGAAGAATTGACAACTGTATGGGCCAGGGAGATGGGAGGGCAAGGACAGGACTCAGAGGCTTCTGTAACTACTCTTACTCTGTGTCTTTCTTCTTAAAGGAAAAGCTGTTTTTCTTGCAAGAGATAAACATCACCTCTCAGACATCTGCCATCTGATCCGCCATGATGTGCCCTACCTGTTCCAGAAGTATGTGAAGGAGTCACATGGCAAAGACATCCGGGTGGTGGTGGTCGGGGGCCGGGTGATAGGCTCTATGCTCCGCTGCTCCACAGACGGACGGATGCAAAGCAACTGCTCTCTCGGTAAGGTATAAAAGCTCACAGTCAGTGTGTCAGTCGCGGGAGGCCACCGGGATTTTTATTAGGATGTGTGCACCCATTCAGTAAATGTGGATGGATCCCTCCTATCTTGTCAAATGCTCTGCTAGGCGCCAGGATCACAGAGAAGAGTTAGAAACAAGCCCTTGCCACAGCGAGCAGTCCAGGAGAAGAATGGACAGGTGTAAGTGCTGTGATAGAGGTCAGGCCAGGGGTATCACGACACTGAGGTTGAACCCTATCTGGGAGGTGTTGGGACTCAGTCAGGTTTAGTGTAAGGGGTGACAGGGGGATCCGTGTTTGAGAAAAACCCTGGGTAGGGGAGGGATCGAAGGCATAAGGCAGGAAGCAGGAAGATGAGTTCAGGAGATTTTACAGTAGCTCAGGCAAGAAATAATGAGGGTCTACACTAATGCAAGGCAGGAGGAGAGTGATTCTGCTTTTACATTGTAATTGAAAATTGTGTTTTTCTTTTTATTAAATTTTTTTTTTTAACATTTGTTTATTTCTGAGACAGGGAGAGACAGAGCATGAACAGGGGAGGGGCAGAGAGAGAGGGAGACACAGAATCCGAAATGGGCTCCAGGCTCCAAGCTGTCAGCACAGAGCCCGATGCGGGGCTCGAACTCACGGACCGTGAGATCATGACCTGAGCCGAAGTCGGACACTCAACCGACTGAGCCACCCAGGCGCCCGACAATTGTGTTTTTCTTATATGTATGATACTATTAGCTGCAGTTTATGTTTGGGTCAAACGCATAACCCCATCCCATGAACCTATTGTTTTTGTGGGGTTTTTTCTTAATGTTTTTATTTACTTTTGAGAGAGAGAGAGCGAGCATGTGCAAGTGCTAGCGGGGAAGGGACAGAGAGAGAAGGGGACAGAGGATCTGAAGCAGGTTCCACCCTGACAGCACAGAGCCTGATGCGGGGCTCGAACTCACCAACTGTGACATTGTGACTCGAACCCAAGTCGGGTGCTTAACTGACCGAGCCACCCAGGTGCCCTCCGTGAACCTGTTGTTAATCTTGTTTTCTGTTATGGTGAATGGAGATGTTCCAGGAGGGATGTAAATTTTTGTCCCCATCAAAGAAAGCTCTCATCACCCTCATTGAATGAATGTGTGTGTTGGTAATATGAAAGAAACAACAACAAAAAACAACTATGGTTATTTCTTAAATGGCCCAGTGAGTGTACCAAGGCTAGTGATTAAGAAAGAGGCCGAGACACAGATTCGGTCCTTCATTAATACTGGTTGAGCAGCCACCACGAGCAGACTCTGTGAGTATAGCGATCAGCCGGGGAGCCCCTGCTCTGGAACAGCTTACGGGTCCATGAAGGAGAAGACACGAAAGCACATCATTGCAAGACACTGTGATGAAATGCTGTGAGGGGGGCAGATGCTAGGCTCAGGCTGACACAGTGCTAAGTACCCAGCATGCTGTCCCATCTCATTTTCGTGTGTGGTACCACCACAGTGAGCCTCGTGGATGATGCTGTCTTTTTTAGTCACCTTACAAAATCCCTTCTTTAACTAGGAACCACACAGTTTTGTCATTTACCCCTAACAGGTGGGGAAGGGACAGTGTTAAGGTAAAGACGTTAGTTGTTGGACCTGAGAACACAAGTCTTAAGTCTTTCCAGGGAGACTATTAAACCTGAGGTCTTAGCTTTGTGGTACCTAAGGGCAGTCAGACTGTATGTGTCTTTGGTATAGGATTTTGTCTCATAAGCCTTTCCGTCTCCCTCTTCCTAAGACATAATGTTAATTTTGCTTTTTCTATATGAAAGGAACACATTCTCGATGTAGAAAATTGGTAAGTATGGCAAAGTCAAATGAAAAAAGATGTCTATCATTAATCCCACTCCCTAGAGACAGCCATTGTTAACATTTTCTTATCATTATTTCCAACAACATCTATTTTATTTATTTATTTGGAGAGAGAGAGAGAGCACGCATGCACAGGGGAGGGAGGGAGGGAGAGAAAGAATCCCAAGTAGGCTCTGTGCCGTGAGCACGGAGCCCGACATAGGGCTCATTCTTAAAACTGACCTTGAGGTCACGACCTGAACTGAAACCAAGAGTCAGATACTTAGCTGACTGAGCCACCCAGGTGGCCCCAACCAACAATATCTCTTTGCACACTTGTGGTCATACTGCACAGTCTTCAGTCCTTTCACGTGTTTTTCCAAAGGATCACAAGCTCTCTACAAGCATTATTATTAATGATTCTAAAATATGCTGCTTTCCTCCATTAGGAGATATTTGTAGCTTTTCATTTATTTATCAACAAATATTTAGTGAGTGCCTACTATGTACAAGTATTTCAGTTTTCCAGGATTTTAAATAACTCTACCATCCATTTTGTGCAAAAAACTTTTTTCCATTATGTAAGATTATTTCCTTAGTGGTAGGATGAGTGGGTCTGAGGAAATAAACATTTTAAAAACTCTTAGATAAGACATGACCCTGTTGTTTTCCCAAAGGGTGTCCTGATTTCCGAACAGACCTTCTGTGAGTGATGACAATGCCCGTCTCATTGCCCCTCCTTGGCATTACCCATCTCTTCTTTGAAGGGTTATTGTGTCCTCGGTGTCTGATGTCACCATTATGTCACTGTGCTTTCCCCACAGGCGGTGTGGGTGTCATGTGCCCGCTGACAGAACAAGGCAAGCAGTTGGCTATTCAGGTGTCCAACATCCTGGGCATGGACTTCTGTGGCATTGATCTCCTCATCATGGACGATGGCTCCTTTGTGGTGTGTGAGGCAAACGCCAACGTCGGCTTCTTAGCCTTCGACCAGGCATGCAATTTAGATGTGGGTGGCATCATCGCGGACTATACCATGTCCTTGCTGCCCCATAGGCAGACTGGCAAGATGGCTGTCCTCCCGGGACTGTCCAGTCCCAGGGAGAAGAAAGAGCCAGATGGCTGCACTTCAGCTCAGGGAGTTGCAGAGAGCGTCTACGCCATCAACAATGGGTCTACCTCTAGTGAGAGTGAGCCTGAACTGGGAGAGATCCGGGATTCCTCAGTGAGCACAGCGGGGGCCCCGCCCCCCATGCTGCCTGAACCTGGCTACAACATTAACAACAGGATTGCTTCAGAATTAAAACTTAAGTGAATTCCTGCTTTTTGGGCAGCATTTAAACCAAATCCTACTGCTTCCCTATAGTTTTGAGTGAATAAAATCTGGACTAATGTGATTTCATTTGCACAGAAACTAGAAATCCCATCTGGGCACTCAGCATTCTTTCTAACGATGATTTAAGCAAACGGCTTAGCTTTGTGGTTTTTACAAAGACTAACCTAAAGACACTCACCACGAGCAACATCCCGACTGATCAACTTGAGACCGATGTCTGCTGCGAGCACTTGGATATACGGCTGACTTTTAAGGCGCTGACTCTGTCCTGCTGCTTCTGGCTGTGATCAGCAGAGCCCATTAACCCAGAACGGCCCCTGGAAATACTGTACTCAGAAGCCCCACTGGACGGAGGCGGGTGCAGAAGAGACCGAATGTGACTGCGGTTATGTGCTCTTCGTTAAGTGTGTGTGTGATGTGTGGAGAATACACAGTCCAAACGCTATGAGAGGATCGATCTCTGCTCCCCGTCAATCACCATCTTGGCCATATTTCTCTGACACTCAGGATATGGTGTTTTAGGGAGCTTCCTCATTAGCAGTGAAGCACTTTGTAGAAAGTTCGAGATTGAACGTTCTTTGACTTCACTGGTTGGCAGATATCCTGCTGCGTAACTGGGGCTTTCTACAAATTGCTTTGCCGCTCCGAATTTATAGACCCTGCTTCAACTAATGCCAGCCCCAGCAGCCTCTTGCACCTTTGCTGCCTTTGGCCTCAGCTGGAAATGCACTTCAACGAGCTAGTGGCCACACACTTTATTTCTTATGCGTGCACTAGAATTGAACACCATGAACTTTCTTGTCAATGGACTCTGTTCGTTTGTCATCCAGAAGCCGGTGGGTTTTTATCATAGAAGCTACTGGAAGATAATCATTTTCCCTCTTCTCTCCTAAAACTTTGTGTACTGCTTAGCTGTAGGAGGTTTTCTTGTATGTGTTGGTGTTGTGGGCCTGTTGGGTAGATTGAGCCATTGGAAACACACTCTAATCCCCTTGACCTTCTAGTCCTATCCAGGTTTCAGAGACCTGTCCTTACCCACTTTTCCACACTGGGGAGACTCAGGTATTAGGAATTGCCCATTGCACATTTTGGGGGAGGACGGTGTTAGATAATGTAGACGTGACACCAAGTGCTTTTCATTTTAACTCTAAGCAGTAGATGATGATCCTTCCCTTGGGAGAAATCATGGAGATAGAGTTTTCCATTTCTGCTTATATGAAGTATGATGAGAATGAGCAAGGCTCCCTCTTTAACCAAATACACTAAAACGTAAGCCCTCAAGAGTTACCATAACCTATTATTTCCTCAAGAGATCATACTCTGGAGCTGTGATGTTACATATGCCAAGAACACATAGACTTCCTCTTTGGAATGATCTCTGAAGCCATGCAAGGTAAGAGGCCTCCCAGCCTTACAGTGAGACCTCGTTTTTCACACCACCCCTCCCGAGAGGTAGTCCCAAGCTCCATCACCCATTTTATTTATCAGACTTATCTTCTAATGCTCTTTGGCTCTTAAAAAAAAAATCATTCCTCAAAACATAAATCTACCCATAAAGGACAAAGACCTACCAACATTGAGGAAGCTCACAAGTGGACAGTTTCCAAGGAAGGCTCTAGAAATAGTCTGACTTAAGGTCAGTTTCACTGGCCTAAACATCCATCTTCCCAAGGTGACTAGTTTGAAGGCAGCAACACCTATTTGGGTGTATAAATTCCTGGACTTATTCTGCTGTAAATGTAAAAATGTGTATAAAGCCAACACTGTCACATTTTTTTCACAACACATCTAAGTAGCAATTGGCTTTTAAAATATTGTGGCTAAAAGCACATCTCACCAAGTAGTACTTAGACAACTGAAAAATGTTTGGCTCCATGATATGGAGATATGCACTACACCATTGTAGTCTAAATGCAGTCCAACGTAGGGTGCATGCCACTCAGTTGTAACTCTAGTAAATTGTACGGTTGACGAATGATAACGCTTCACCTTTATACAGGTTACGACATTTACCTTATCTTTACCACTCAGGGTGGGTTTAGGAGGACAGTTCTAGGTCTGTTCTTGTTGAATTGTCCAAATGCTTTCTACGTAAACATCTGAACTGAGTGATGACCTTCTGGAAGCTGCATTCACTCATTCCCACTGTTCAGTGTAAGCCCAATCTCCCCACTTTATCTCAAAGGATACTAGCGGGCCCTGTGCTAAGCAGAGCAGCTAGAGGGTGCTTCCAGATTTGTCAAAGGGGGCTCATCTTCCAGCTGCTAGTGACATCTATAGTCATTGGCACCATTGCTTTTTGGCCCAGCCTAGAAGCAGAGAAAGCTGGGTCACACCCAACTCATAGCTCCCCTCCAGGATTTCCCCTACTGGCCATGGGCCCTGTGAGCCTCCGTCATGCGTCTGGGCCACACTTGTTACACCTGCCGACCAGACCTGCTGGAAGGAACATGGGGCTCAGAGCCAAATCCCGGTTTTGGCTCTCCCCTTAAATAGCTCACTAACCTTGTGCAGTCAGGTGGAGTCTGCCTCCATTTTTCCATTCTGATAGGGGAGATGCCTACTCTGTTTACCTCTTGGGGGTGCTTTGAGGTTGATGCGAGTTAATTAATGAGACTTTGCATCATGTGGGAGGTGGTAGAAGAATACCTCCCACATCTGGTTTTATAAGTTTCTCCTCACCCCTCCCCTAAGGGAGTTAAGAAAGAAAGAGGCCACGAATTCTTGGCATCAGCACATTAAAGAGTGTCAGGGGAACCTGAAAAGGATGCAGCTTCTCAGAGGCTTCACCGCCTGAAAGAAGGAAGGCTCTCCGTGTACTCAAACAGCCTTCTGGATGTATCGTATATAACCGGAAACTCCTGACTGTCCTATATCAACTAACGGTCTTCCTTGTGTAACATAAATTGCAGTGTCTGTACACGGTCTTCCCATTATCTTGAAACTGGTCGAAACTTGAATGCCAATAGCTCAGTCACGCAGAATATATATGATCCTGCACTTGGGAAAAATGTCTTCATGCTATCTGTCTGATTGCTGAGGGGCATGGGGTTGCCAGAATGTGCGTTTGGGCCTTTTAGGTCTTTAAAATCGGATAAAATCCTAAGCTCTTACTGTCACCGTTGCAGACTCCCTGCACGCAGCTCAGAGGGGATTCTGTGACAGTCGGGGGTGGGGCAAGGAGGAAAGGGAAGGAGAAAGGTCTTGGATACTTTTGTGACATTTCAGGGGAAGAAATAAGAAATTGGATCATTTGGAATTCCAGGGGGAAAGAGGAAGAAGTGGCTCTTCTGTGGATTGTTTTAAGGAAGGAATCACGCACACGTATTCATTAGAAGTACGGGTCTTTGAAACTCTTCTGTAGAAAGAAAATGAGATGCACAGATTCTCATGAACCCTGAGGAAGTGGGAGAGACATCCCCTAGCGCTTTATGTCCTGATGAATGTTGGTCTAAGATGATGCAAATCCAGTGGAGATTGAAGCAGCTCACCGGGGGTTCCAGGATCCCCCTGGTAACAGCTGGCCCTTCTGGAAGTTAATGACCAGAATGCCATGTGCAGGCAAGCTTAGAGCCACAGCTCTCTGAGGTGGGTCTAAGGAGCCATGTCAGACTGAATCCAAAGGCAGTAAAACAGGGCACTTCGGCTTAATACTTCCCTTTGCACCTGGAGGTGAGGCTATTATTTGTTGTAAGTCTATGCAGATGTTCGGGGAAGAGTCCTGACAACGGTCATCTTTGTCCCTGTCCCTGAAGTTAGTGTTGTTCCATCTGTTGCTGCAGCCCAGCAGCAAGCCTGGTCCTATTTTTGCCTCTGAGACTCAAGATCATGACTTTAAAATGTTTCTACCTGGAGAACCCCCATCTCAGGAATATGTTGTTTGAATACTTTCTTAAAACTATATTATGCTTCCATTCCAAGCCTACAGTCAGACGCTGCAGCCCTCCCTTCCAAATGAAAATTTTTTTCCTTCAAGCTCTTCCGTTTCTTTCTGGTGTGGTTCCTGTGCCCACGTGTGGCACTTTTCTGGGCCCTTGTGCCGGCATCCCAACCCTGTCTGGTAGTCTCACTGTGTCATTTCGGGTTCACTGTGGCTTTGAGGCAATACTGGGAAAGTCACCCGTGAAGCCAGATTTGAGGACACAGGAACAACAGCGCTTTGGACACCAGTTCAGTTCCCCATTTTATAGATGGAGGATCTGAATCCCAGAGGCTGAGATCATTTAGCGAGTCAGCCACAGGGCTGGGACCCGGGCCGTCCGATTCCCCATTCTGGTTTAGCATGCTGCCAGAGGTGGCTCTGTTCTTCCCTGGCGCCTAGCCCTTGCTCCCGTCCTGGGCTCACCCTCTGCCCTTTTTCCTGCTGAGCCTCTGCTCGGGATTAACGTGGTGTTGATGTGCCAGCTCTGAAGGGTTCGGCTCTTGGATGGCTTGTAAATGAGAGCCCCAGAGGTGTATATGAGGTTTCCATGGTGCAAGCTGGCCTAAGGCCCGAGCCTTCAGACCGGCTAAGACCATTTAGACCCGCCCCACACCATCCGTGAGAGAAAGAGGGAAGGTCCCAGCTGAGCTGGCGGAAGGCTCCCTCGGCCCCAGATTGGCTGATGTTTCCCCACTGCGGAACTTCTTGGATTTGTAGAGGCTTTTATGGGCCTCCGTGGAAGCCAAGGGCTTGAAGGGCCCATATTTCTCCCATCAGGCACCCCTGCAGGGGCATCCTGATGGACGCACACGCTCCAGCTACAGCCAGCCACAAAGTCCAAAGTTCGCTCCCACTTGGTGCTTCAGCTCCATGGCGCACCCGCCTGCAGCCAGCCACTGGGCCGGATCCCTCCCTGTTGTAGCCCTCATGTCAGCTGAGGACCACCTACCCCTCGAGATCCAGACAAGCCTGATAACTGGGCCTTCAGATGTCTGCGATTTCTAAGGCGCTTACATTGTGGCAGCCACAGCTGACTCCAGACTTCTGCTACCTCATT